GAGAAAGCCCATGTGTCATTTAACTTTGGATTCGTATCATCTGACACAGGCTTGACCCACAGGAGAAGCTTAATAAATATTTATTAACTGAAATAAATGTAAGCTCGGAGGTTTATTATAACGCCATATTTACAAGTTAATACATGAGTTCACATCCAGAGAAAACAGTAAAATAATAACAGTATCACCTACTATTCACTGAGCATTTGCTATGAGCTTGGTATTGTTTTGGCATAACTGATTCCATCCTAATAGTGGCTCTATTTAGCAACTTCTGCCATGGTCCCTAACTGATGAGACAGGAACACAGACCAACCGCCTTGCCCCAGGGCCTGCAGTCAGGAAGCTATGGAACCAGAACCGAATGCCAACAATCTAGCTCCAGATGTCACACTTTAACACAACAGTATCCTGACTGCTCATATGATTCCAAAATAGGGTGACTCCAACGCTGGGTAATCATCTCGTTTTTTGGCAAATTTCCTTTGAATTAGCTGTGCCTATTTGGGCATTCAAGACCAGCAGAGGAGGTCATGGGCAAGTTTTCCCTTCCCCAAATATCTTCAGTATATGTATTTGACAACATCCAGATTAGGTAGATATGGATTAAAAAACACATATTTAAAAATTACATTGACACGGATGAAAAAAACACATACAACCCTCAAGCAACTACCATAAACATTATAGTGTATTCTAGGTTAAGATAATTTTATTAAGAGACATTCTCTAATTGTTACTTTGTGTGTAAACGACCTCATTTCTGAATAAATCTACTTGCCTCCTCCATTCCGTCCTCACTCAATGATACTGAAGAAATGATACTGCTAAAAATCATAAATTTCCAAATCACTGGCTATAGAAAACAGGATCTTTGAGGACAATGACAAACGATCTTCGAGAAACTTTAAAGACATTTATTTCAGACCTCCAGTTTATAACAAAAATTGTAAGACACCATCAGAGTTGTGGTCCAAGAAGGTGCAACTCCTGAGGAGTAGTTTTATCCATTTAAATGACAAACACTGGGTGTGTAAATGTTAAAGGTTACTGTTATGGTTTATGTCTGTGTGTTCCCCCAAAGCCTCATGCGGAAATGGGGCAGGCTGTTAGAGTTTGATTGTGGGTGTGAGAGCTGCACCCGCCCTGGAGTGGATAGTTTGCATATGTAAGGGAGAGGAAAGAGTGCTTGGGTGCATTCTTCCCCCATTCCGCCCTGGTGTGGTGGTTGCTTAGCTGTGTTCTGTGCCATGAGCTGCTGCCCTCTGCCACGTGCCACTCTTATAATCTGCCAAGTATGGATTGAACCCTCTACAAACTGTAAGCGAAATAAACCTTTCCTTCCTTAATTTTGGGCGTCAGGTGTTTTGTCCCAGCCACGAGAAAAAAGTAACCAAGACAGTTACTAAGAGATTTTGGTATTGTAATTTGTTGTGTCTTTGTTGTGTCTCCAATGAATGATATATTCTGCATGGCATCTCATAACTGAACTTCCTATTTAAATAGAATTAAATTTATTGTACATCTATACAACCACTGGTAGCAAGATACTGATGTTCATGTGACACCATCACCAACTAACTGAAGTTATATTAAAGAAGTAAAATTAATTCCAGTGTGTCTGGACTAAGTGAATACTTTTACTGTTAATACAATGGTTTTATTATTTTTAGAATTGCTCTTACCACTAAAAGGTAAAAATATAAACTGTTAAACTTAAATGATAAAGTGAGTCTTCATAATTAAGAATAACATGAAAAAATATGACAAGGTTAACAGTTAAAGTTGATTGGAACAGAAAGTAGCCTAGATATAAATATTCACAGTGGTAGGCTATATGAATATTAACTTTATTTTTTGCCTCTGCCTACCTGATGGCTTTAGCCAGGAACACCCACCTCCCCAACAAGAAAAACAAAACAAAACAAAACAAAACAAGGAAACGTCGACAATCTGGCAAAAAGTGGACGATCTTCTGAATCAGGGTTTCAAACCGACTACCTAGGGGGCCAAGGCGCCACCAGCACGCCCTATGGGTGCAGAGGACTTCCGTTCACGGAAGAGCGCTCAACCCCACTGAAACTGTACAGCTGCCACTTGGCTCAAGCTGGCTGCTGGCTGTGCAAGACAGGCTCGGTGTTGACAAATCTTGAGTTTTTCAAGAGATCAGCAATGAGGAATTTTGTACGAAACTCCTGAGGTATAAATGTTAGCTGATGTCTTTTTAGATGTTGTTTTGAGGTTTATCACTGCTACCAAAGTATCTGCCAGCTGCTAATGGAGAGTACAAAATGAAGCCTGGTTTGGTAAAAAGCGGAAAACTGGAGTCTGATATCACGCCGACAGCAGGGAGGCTTCGGGATGGCAGGGGACGGGCAGGTGCTCTCGGTCCCCCTGCCGCCCGCTGCAGAATTTGCCCATAAAACATAACCGCTTTACTGCAGCAGGGAGCACTGGGAATAGAGCGCATGGGCGGTGGGAAGGAGAGAGACTGCGCCGGGACGTGTCTGTTAGACTGGGAGGAAACAGAAACGAGCGCGCATTTTCTCAATACTTGTACGAACAGTCATGGGCGTTTGTGGACGCAGCCAAGCACGTCTGGAAAGCTTACCTACTTTGGTCATGAAAGAGTCGTTAGTTTATCTTCCAGGTCTGCTGGCACATTAAAACTTGCCAGTTGGTTTGGCAAACATTTACGGAGCACCTCGCCTGTGCTGTGTGCTGACAGGGGCTGGGGACATCAGCGTACTAAGACCAGCTCGCGGCGGAATGAGGGGCGCAGGCAAGTAAACAGGCCACCAAAGTACAGGGTGGAGAAGTTACGCGGCCTACTGAGCTGTGAACAGCAACGATGAGCTGCTCCCGCATCTAATCCACAGAGGGGGAGGTACAGACTGCCCGGAAGGAGCAGAGTGCGAAGCGCAAGGAGCAAACATAACCCTTCCTCACACTTACTCTACGGTGGGCCCCGTCCTAGGAGCCTGCAGTTTCCTACCTCATGTAAGTCCCCACGGGAATGGTGTGTATTCTTCTATTATCTCCATCTGACTGACGAGGAAATGAACAAAGGAATTTGTGTAGGAATGAGAGTCAGAACCAGATTCTGCACTCTTAATATCTGTGCATTATATACTCAATAAAAATATAAGGGGAGTGTCAGAGCCAAGACTCTATCCTATTCTAGTAAGTCCTGAACCCAGATTCTCTGCGCTTGCTCTCAAAGTACGCACACATACGTGGGAAAGCTCTGTTCACAGATGTGTCAGCGCGTCTGACTCTACGCCTCCCGTGTTGGCTCACACGCGCTCCTTCCTGCCGCCTCCTAGTCCTCACTGCCCTGATTCGGTCTCTTCGGCTTCACTCTCTAGCCCTCCAATTCCCCGCAGGTATCGCTACCAGAATAATCTCTGGTGTGTTCCTTCCCTAGTGCAGGAGCTTTAATGCGCTCCTTTCTCTACTGCGGAGGCTTCCAAGGCGTGGAACATGCGTCCTTCGTGAGATGGTGTTAGATGGCACGCAGTGGCATCAAATACCTCCGATCACAGAAGAAGAATTTCCCCTTTCTCACTCTCCTTTTAGTCCTTCTCATTATGTCAGGGAAAACACTCCTGCACGTACCTAATCCTTGATAAAGGGTTCTTTTAAAAGAGCAGGCCAAAACAGTGCTTTGGACAAGAAACTGTATCTAACTAGATATTAAAATATTGGTTTCCTTTTTAGTATGTTTATTTTTGTATTTTATATATTTCTTCTTTTTATTTGGACCAAAAGGTTTTAATAAATCAATTTCAAAAAAGTTATCCACTATATATTTTTCCAGACACAACGAAATAAACCTAAAAATAAATATTTGAGAAAAAACTAGAAATGCACAAATAAATGGAATTTTTGTTTGTTTTCTGACTTTATTAGTACATATCTTCCATCTGCAAGTACAACATAGTTTTCTTTTAAAACAAATTTAATCCAAAAGAAGAAAGTCAATTTAAAATAAACTATTAAGTACCTACTGCCGCAGGTAGAACTCAAAGATGGTACTGACAGCAGTGCAGAAATGACTGCCGTTTGAAAAGCACTGTCACTCAATTCAGGTTCTCTGGAGGTCACACAATAGCCTAAAATGACCCACCTTGTACCAGGCTATTGTACTGTGAGACTGATATTTCTTGGGCTGTTCTTAAATCTGCAACAGTGATTCCTTAGTTCTCTAAACATGTAGCATTTTCTGGCTGCTGTGGCTTGGGTCTAGATGTCCCCTCATGTGGTCCTAGGTGGGGTTTTTTCAGAGTGGCTGGATCTAGAGTGTGTGATGTTGGGATTGACTCATGGTGCAATGCTAGGATTAAGGGCGTGAGCACTGCCTGCCATAAGGGTCGGTAGCGTGGATAAGATATAAGGACAGAAAGAGGCTTGTCACTTGCTTTGCTACCTTCTGCCCACTACGAACTGTTCCTCCTCTGTGATGCCCCTCTGCCATGCCATCCTGCCTTGGAGCCAGCTGATATTGGACTGAAACCTCTACAAACTGTGCTAAATAAACCTTTCCTCCTTTAACTTTTGGTGCCGAGTATTTTGTCTCAACAATGAGAAAAAGTAAGACACCAACTTCAAGTTTTTCCCACGCTGTTCCTTCTGCTTGGGGAGCTCAGTTTCCTATCTCCTTACTGAAATCTCACCGTCCTTCCAAATCCATGCTAAGCGCTATCCCCTTCATGAAACTTCTGCTCATCTGGCAAGCAGATGAATTTCTTTCCCTTGCAACGCCCCAACAGCACCTTCTCTCTCCACATTGCTTCCTATCACAGTTTCCGTGACATTAAGTGTTTAAACAATAATATTCATTCACCCGGTAGAGTTCACGTGAGAGGAAGAAGTACGGCTTTTATTCATTTTTTATGCCACTGTGATGCTTAATAAAGTGCCTCATGTGCAGTGTTATCCTATAATTACTATTTGCTATCTTGAATTTAATACTTCACACAACATTCATGTATACTTACAATTTTGCGCTTGATCATGAAGAGTGGGATTTTTGCATGAAGAGGAGTTGAGGACAGTTCCTTATGGACTGTTGATAAATAAAGTCTTCTTTTGATGTTGCCTAAATCAGTAATTCTGAAAAAAGAGGACAGAAGAAAGATCCCCATCAATTTAATAACTACTGCTTTGGATAATCATCAAAATGATATAATTTCCAACATGGAGTACAAATACCAAATTTAAGAACTGTTTTCTGTCAAGAAGAAATAAAATTTCTTCCTTAAATTCAAAGTGCTCACAAGCTTGAACATATAAATTCACTTAATATGCTAATTTATTTCAGTACTCTACACTACATTTCCACAGTCCTCCAGCCTACAAAAAAATTCAATTTGTATGAACTGAGAAACTGCAAGGTTTTAATAACCAGGCTTGTTCCAGCCCCTTAAGCTTGTGTTATCTTGGGACATACTGTCACCTACTAAACAGAAAAACATTATGGGTTTCTCTCCCTAAAAATGCACCTGTCATTTTATATAGGCTGTTAGTCTGCTTAGAGACAGACACAAAACACTGTCGGTTTCACTTCCTAAGCACATAGCTTCCAGCTGGAATTGTAATACACAAGTTCATTGCTCACTGTTCAGGTTGACCCACAGTGACATCAAGGACACTGAATTTGAACATTTTTAATAGATTTAGACCACAGGCATGATCACAGAGATTAGGTTTGGTTCAAACTGATAGAGGCTCATTTTTATGTTCTGCTTTCTTTACGTCTCAGAGGTAACACAGCAGGATGGAAATCTCCAAACCTGTCTCAGGTTGCTGTACTGTAGAATTGCAGCTTTCTTAAAAACTATCTTTTTATCTGAGAATAAATCATTTTTTCCTGATTTTTAGCAATGTTGCCTAGATGTACCACATTGCTAATTTTCTGCAATTAGCAATCCCCTAAGGAACTATTTCTTTCAAATACACTGTTGTCAATATTTATAGTATAATTAACATTAAAAAATCAACATATCCTTTTTTATAGCTCTTCAGCACTGCCTCCTGTTAAGCAGGCACTCTACCACTGAGCAATGCCTTGGACCTTTCCTAATTTCCAACTTAGAGAAAAGCATTAGGTGTAGTACACAAAAAACTCATGCTGTTTATACAGATTTGCTTATGTGGATATTTGTTAATTAGCAAAAGTTTTCATTTTCATGAAGCAGAAGTTTTAATTACTTATACTAGTGCTTTCTGTGTCCTAAAAGAATCCTTGCCAAGTACAAGAACACTTTCTTATGTTTCCTTCTAGATTTTTATAGGCTCAGTTTTTACACTGAGTCTATGATCCATCTTAAGTTTCTGTGTGTTGTTGGTAAGGGTAGAGTTATTTTCTCTGTGTAATGTTTATGAATTTGCCCCAGAACCGTTTATTACAGACTTTCTTTTCCTTACTGAAATGCCATATCACCTTGCTGAAAATCAACTGATTGTGCTGCATTAGTCCATTTCCTGTTCTTATAATGAAATATCTGAAGCTAGGTGACTTCATAATGAAAAAGGGTCTATTAGCTTACAGTCATGGGAGCATGTGTGGGAGGGAGAGATAATGTCTTGAGACAGGGTGCCAGAGGACAATTCTGAGGAGGGGCTCATGCTCAGAACAGCTTACTCTTGCAAGAATTAACTCAAAATCCCTCAAGGACCGTCTTAATCTCTTCTGAGGCTCGCACTCTAAATGACCGAGGGACAACCTTTTAGGGTGAACACTATTTCCCAACATTGCTGCACTACTGATTGAGCTACCAATGAGCTACCGATGCACAAACCCTTGGCAGGCAGACCACATTCCCATGACAGCATGTGTGTGAGCACAGAGACTGCGGAACTCTCCCTCGACCTTTTCTCAACAACACATTTGCTCATTCTTATACCACAAATACTGTATTTTCACTACTACAGATGAACAGTGAGTTTCAAAACTAGGTAAAGAAACCTTTTAATTTTGTCTTTGTTAAAGGTTTATTTGGACTTTTTAATATAGATTTTAAGATTTATTTATCATTTTCTATTTAAAAAGGTTACTGATAACTTATTGGCTATGCTAAATTGGATCTAAAAATCTATTTTTGGGAGAATAATACTGAGTCTTCCAATCCACTCACATGGTATATATCCATTTATTTAGGCCTTGTCTACTTTCTTTCATAATGTTTCATAATTTGCATTTCACAAGTCTTATAAAATTTTTGTTCTATTATTTCTAAGTACTTTTCTTTTACACAATGGACAATGAATTTTTGAATCTAATTTCTTGGCCATTTCCTAATAGTTTACAGAAATACAAGATTTTTGTACATAGACCTTGTTTTCTGTGTCTGCTTAATTCAATCATGAGTTGTGGTAGCTGTTTTATATATTCTTGAGGATTTTGTACATAAATAATCATGAATAATAAGTAACCAGTGAATAGATTATTTTATTTCTGCTTTCACTCTTTATGCCTCTAATTTTTTTTTCTTGCACTATTGCACTAGTTATGGGACCGTGAATACATACTAAGAAGTGATGGGAGTAGACAGACCTTGTTTTCTTTTCAATCACAGGATAAAGTGTTTGCTATGTTCCCACTAAGACTGAGGATGTTCTCTTCTATTCCTACTTTTGTGACAGTTATTTTTTTAAAATCATGAACAGGTAGAGAATTTCATCAAATGCATTTTTGGCATTGATCTAAATGATCTTGTTTTTTCATTTATTTTGTCTCTATTGAATTACAGACAAAATAAATGATCTATATGGCTAAGCCTGGTCTTGATAACAGCGGTAACTTAGTCCTATGAAATTATTTGAGAAGTATTTCTTTCTGTGTTTTCAGAAAATGTTTCTTTTAAAAGATGCTAGTTTCTTCTTAAATGTTAATTGAATTCACCTCTGTCTGAAGTTTTCTTTGTGGGAAGATTTTGTTTAGACATCCAATTTCTTTGTTACATTATAGGACTACTCAGATTTCTAATTTTTCTTGTTTTAGTTGTCGTCTTCATATAGAGTTGTTCAGTTTATTGCCATAAGATTGTTAATCTTATTGCCTTTATTGTTTTTTAGTGTCAGTGGCATCTATAGTGGTATTCTCTCATTCCTGACATTGATAATTATGACATCTTTCTTTTTTATTAATCAGTCTTGATGTAATTTATCAAGTTTATCTTTCCAAAGAAAACAACTTTGGCTGTGTTAAATTTCTCTATTCCTTGTTTTTCACCTTACTGATTCCATTATGTGATTTTCACTGTATTGATTTATTATTTCCTCCCTTCTTATTTTGGGTTAGATTTGTACTTTGTCCCTCTTTGGCTTCTTTACACAATAAGCTGTATCACTGCTGCAACCTTCCTTCTTTTCTCATGTAGACATTTAAGACTAGATTTAGCTCTAAGCATTGTGATAGGTGTATCCCACAAATTCTCATGAATATTTTTTATTTATTCTGAAATATTTTTTTTTATCTCATAGAATTTCTTCTTTGAATAGTGGGTTTCTTTTAGAGGTATGCTATTTAAATTTTGAACATTAAGGTCTTTTCTGTATATTTTGTTGTTACTAATATTTAGTTTCATTCCATCAAGGTCAGAGAAGATACTTCATATAGTTTCCTTTTTAAAAAGTTAATTAAACTCATTGTATGATTTCTTTACAACTTGTTCCTGCTCCATTCTGGACCCAGTCTTCCACAAGGTCACACATTTGTGTTTTTCATCCATGAAAAAGCCTTCTTAAAGTGGTCTCCAAGTTATCAAGACTGGAGTATAATCTAGTGTTTAGTGGAATGTGTTAATTTATCTAAAGAAAAAACTGAAGTATAAACACATTGTTTACTTAGTATACAAAAAGACAACAGTTTTAGATTACAATACCTGATATATACCTTTTCCCAGGGAGAGATATTATTATTAAAAATTTATTAACTATTGGGTATTTTCTATATTCCAACTCTGAATTAAACAATCTTCATATATTATCTCATCTAATTCTCCCATAAGCTTGACAAGATATCTATCATTATTATCATTTCTATTTTACTCACGAAGAAACTAAATCTTAGTAAGACTGCCAACTTTTTTCCAAAGTCATGCATCTAGCAGAGTTTAAATTTAAACTCAGATTTAATTAATTCACTATCCACTTTCTGAGCTACGTACCTTTTTTTCTTTCTGGAGTGGGTGGTGCTTTTAAACATACCCAATAATCTTTGATATATTCCCAGTAGTCTGGCTTTTGCTTCTGGGAACAAAATATTTACTACTTGATGGCTTAGACTCCTACTCCTTAGTGTGTTTGTCTGGACATAGCCTTTGTTTGTATTTCATGTGTGAATGTGATTATTTTCTTTCCATTGACAAAGTCTTCCTTTAACTATGTAAAAAAGTCTCTGATGGCAAAACCAAGACAAGACCTCTCTGTTGCAGAGCTATAAACATAATCAGGAAAGGAGAACTAGAAGAGAAACATCTAAACCCTTCCCATGTGTCAGAATCCACACACCATTTCACTGAAGTTATCTCACTTGTTCTTGGAAAGAGACTCAATATCTACCTCTTACTGAAGTAGTGAGAGGTTCAAAGACATTAAGAAACTTGGTCAAGATCTCAGTGCCAGTGTTCAGCACAGCCAGGAAGTCTACCAAAGCCGAAAAGACAGGGCAAGAGGACTAATGGTAAATAAATTATAAGTCTATCTGACATTCCAGAGGATGTTGCTTTTGAAAGACTGCATGCTTCCAAGGTAAAAGAAAGAGTAGCAGACCTGTAATTATTTATATTTGTATAGGGCATTCAAAAATATTTTACTATCTTTTGCTTCTTATAGTACTGACAAACATTCTTATAAATATTATTAAACTTCTGACAAATACAGTAATGGCATTTGTTAGGGAAAAGTTCTTAATAGAATGCTTTTTTGTATAGGGCACATCTAGAACTGCATATGGTTACCAAACTGGCACCCGTGGGTTTATAGGGGCATGGTGCCCCTAAAATTATCATATATGGTATATGGTATAAATGTATAAAATGGCCCAAACCCTCTCTTTGGGTAAGTGATATTCCTTCAGGTATTGCTTGGAGAACTCTTCCGCTAAATCT